TCCTACTGATGGCTTACGCCCACTCCCATGGTTCTCTGCTCTCTGCGGACCTGCCTGCTTGATGCCACTGCAGGACCTGGTGTCTGCTCTCTGTGCGGGCCTTGCGAGGGACTGCTTGCCCTTCACTTCCATGGCCAGGGGCAAGCAGGGCCCTGCTGTCTGCTTGCACGCTGTGGGCGACATCCCCGCCCTGCCCCTGGCCACTCGGTGCCTGTGAGCGTAGGACTGGAATGGCCAGGGGTGTTCCAGGATCCCGGCCACTCTGTGCCTACGCACCGGCCTACAGGCTCAGAGCAGCCTGGGACCCGAGGACGCCCATCCCTGGGACCTAGACCGCTTAAATTGGCACGCACCCAAGCAGCCACCCCGCCCCCGGCTGCTAGATGCCTGTGTATGCAAATTAGCCCCCTATCTTTGTCAGGTTAATTTGCATACTCACTCCTGATTGGCTGGTGGGCATCATGAAGTGATGGTCAATTTGCATCTTTCTCTTTTATTAGAATAGATATGTATTTTCTTGGGGAAATTTTTACAGAATTAATCAATAGAGATAAGTCCTGTATTAGTTTCTAAAGGAATTGGAAGAGAACTTTTGTTTGAGTTGCAATTGAGCATTTCATTTCAGTGTCCTACCTTCCTCGTCATTTTTAAGGCATAATTAGTGAGTTTAAGCTTTCGATGTTACTTTACAAACTAAAGAGCAACATCAATCATTTCAGCGTCCTACCTTCCTTGTTATTTTTAAGGCATAATTAGTGAGTTTAAAGCTTTAGATGTTACTTTACAAACTAAAGAGCAACATCAATGACTCAGGATGTTGACGGCAAATCTTGAGAGAGGACCAGAAAGGGACCCCCAGGAAACAGGTGGCCAATTTCAGAAACAAAAATCTGTAAACATGGCAAAAACTTCTCTAATTTCTCGGTGTGTCGTTAATCCATGTTAACTTCTTGAGGCGACAGGATAAGAACTCACGGATGCGAGTCTTACAGTCTGACCGAGCGCTGTCAGTGGCCGCCGCCCTCCCAGGGCCGCCGGGCTCAGAACCCCTAGCCCCCCCACCATAGGCTGTGAGTGTGCGTGTGGATCCAGATGTTGTTGCTGCGCTGTTAGGTCTTTAACGAGCACCGCTTTGGTTCTGATGGCAATGAGACACGCATTTCAAACCTGGGATACAGCCAGGTCCCCAGTAGCTGCTCTTGGGGTGCAGGAGTGTGGGGGGAAGAAGGGGGCATAGAGGGTAGAGGGTGAAGTGAGCTGAGCGAGCACCTGAGGCATTTTCTGTGCAGCATCATTGTGGCGGCTGAGGACTTGCTTCACAATTTGTGAACCGAGCCCGGCCAGTGTGGCTCAGTGAGTGTCCACTCATGAACCAGGAGGTCACCATTGGATTCCCGGTCAGGGCACAGGCCCGGGTAGCAGGCTCCACCCCCAGTAGGGGCGTGCAGGAGGCAGCCGATCCATGATTCTCTCTCATCACTGATGTTTCTCTCGCTCCCTCTCCCTCTCCCTTCCTCTCTGAAATCAGTGAGAAATGAAAAATAAAATAACAAACTTTTAATAAATGCTACTTCTTGGAGCATTTTTTTCCTGTTGAGAAATTTCTTAAAACAACTATTAAGTTATTTTCATTTAAAAAATGACTCTTTACTTAAAGGTATAACATGTCCTGATGTCTGGGTCTCATTTTGTCTTTTAAGCCCTAAACAGCGGGAACCTCAAAGGCAGAAATGGCTCAATGAGGACACAGATCCCATTCTTCCCGGGGCGCCACTCCTGATCTGTGCCGGCTGAACCCCCAGTCCTGGCTCACAGTGCGGGGCACAGCCTGCGGTTCACAGGGGTACCCAGGACCCAGGGGTACCAGGCCACAGGGGTACTCAGGCCAAGCGGTACCCAGGCCACAGGGGTACCCAAGCCACAGGGGTACCCAGACCCCAGGGGTACCTGGGTGCCCAGCCTGGCTCCCCTCACTCCATCTTGGATGCCCTGGTCACAGGCTGGTTAGCAGTGCTTGAGGGCACAGGTGTCCACTATTAGCTGTACGGACCACAATCTCCTTAAATAGTGTGTTGTGGTCCCTGCCAAAGGTTTTTTGAGCACAGGTTTCTATTCTGTGTCTACAGCTCTGGCTCTTCCATGGGCCTGGGAGCATCTATCGATTGGTCGTATTTCAGGGGCCTGGAGGCGGCAGAAGCGCCTGGCACAGTGTGGGCAGTCGTGCTGGCCCTCCGGAAATTCTCTCTCAGGGAGGGACCGCGGAAGCCGCACTGTTGAGGGCAGGAACTCAGGACTTCCAGGTCAGATTTCCCCTCTGCAGCCATTTCATTCCAGATGAGAAAGAAAGAGTCTGTTCCGTGCCTCCCCGCTCGGGTCTTATTTTGTTGGTCTGTTCATTCTGTTCGTTAGATTCCACAAGGGAGTGAGGTAAAGTGGTACTTGTCTTTCTCGCATTGGCTTGTTTCACTCGGCACAATGCTCTCTAGGTCCCTCCATGCTGTCCCAAAGGGTAGGAGAACACCATGCATTAGTTAAATTGTTCATGATCACCTTTATAAACCTTTGGGAATGTTTCGTACAATGTGTAGTTGACCATTTTGCAAGCACACATTCAGA